TCCCTATGTTGGACACCACTTCCACATTCTTCATGTGTGTGTGCTTTGAAACCTTTCCACCTGTTCCAATCTCCTTGGAAAGTTACTGCTACCTCCATGGTTACTTGATGCCTGGCCAGTGGCCCTGCCTTCTTAGGTTGTGGAAAAACCTCCTGAAACTCCTTTTGAAGCTTGGAGCATAGAGCAAGAGCAAGCTTGGAGAATCTTGGAAGGTTGTGGTTGGCAAGAGTTTACCCATTCTTGTGGTCTAGCCACAAAAACTCGGAAGGCAAACGGTAGTTCATGGACACTAATGTAGTTTCTTTATTCAGAAAGAAACAAATGTGTCAACTGGCAAGCCTGACACTAGAAAATGAACGTGACAGACCGTTTTGATAATGAATGCCAACATTTTGCCCCCTGTGGCCGAAGCGTTTAAGAACCCAACAATGTAATTGTTCGGGCTTTCATGAAATTGTTAACAAATTCACACCCCGTATAGCACTGTATGGAAAGCACAATGTGACCCAGGCCATCAGTGGAGAATACAAATATATGTGTACCATCGTGTAGGTAATAGGGATAGGTGCTTGTACACAAAGTACATGTGGATGTCTTCAGTCCACTAGATTGGTTTTCATGTGGACAGAGGCCATTCGATATAACAAATGAGGCATTATATTTTTGACAAGAAGGGATGATTCAAAATTGAGAAGTACTTGACAGCATGCACTGTTTTTAGAAATGTACATGCATGTGGGAGCAGTGAGCAAGCTAAATAATGACAGCATATCTCTCGTTGTGGTTGCACGTTACCGAGTTGAAATCTGCATTTTAATAAGAACTCTCTGGGTAAGACAGCCCTCAAACTCAATTGGCCCATTTCCTGTCGCTAAATTAATGGTGCCTATTAGAGTGCTGATTCTTCGTGATGTAGTTTGACTGATGCGATGGGTCTCTTTTGGTGCCAGTCCTTTTGCCACCGCTGCATGGCATTACGTGTACGAACATGTACATTGTACATTCGTTGATCACCAGTGCCCCTGCCAATTTGTAGCCGGAAATGTATCTGTCCGTTCTTCGAAGTGGCATTTTCAGTGAGTGCTTAGTTTTGACTGGAAGGTTTCAGCTCTTGTGTGATTTTAAAGGATAGAAGATATTCACCTTGCAAAATCACATTGTTAGCCCAAGCGTCAGGATGATGTATGATGCCATGTCTTGTGATTGGTGTGCGGCTGATTGTTGGTAAGGGCATCAAGTTGCCGAGGATGCCCATTCTGGAACAAAAGCGTGATTTCAAGTTTTTTCATATAATATGTTGAGGTAATTTTAGACCTTAACAAGGTGTACCTGGCCTTATTTTTAAGGGTTGTGGCCAGAACCTGACTGGCATCCTTGATTTGCTGACATTTTCTGCTTCTCTCAGATGACAGTGTCCCCGAATACCTTGCTGATTATTTGGAATGGAAAAACACCTTCTTGCTCCTTCCACAAAAACAAAGTGCGTTGATACAAAACAGATCAAAACAGTGTCTTCATTTGAGGATGATCTTCATAGGCAGTGCCCCCGCCCTCCCCCACCAAGTTCATCGAGCCAGCGCATCCCTTTACAACAATATACATGTACCCCGGTATACAGCCATCCACGGTGTTCATTGCCCCCACATTTTATGACTAATAACGTAATCAGGTTCCCTCCCTGAGGTACCTGCGGTTAGCTGGTAATTTGTCTTTTGTAATTATAGCCGGCCATTCATTCAGTTTTTTTTTCTCTTCTCCTCTCGTCTCCTCTTGCCGTTCTGTTTCCCTCTCTGCCTCGCAGGAAGATCTGCCTGCACTGCAAGTGTCCCAGGGAGGACCACTACATCATGTCGGGGGACCAGGAGAAGACGGTGAGCCGTATGATGACGGACTTCCACCAGCGGAACTCCACGTCGGACGACGACAGCGGCTGCATCCTGGAGGAGTACACCTGGGTGCCCCCCGGCCTCAAGCCGGAGCAGGTAATGTAACGAGACGGCTCGGAAAGTGCCATGCTCGAAGTGATACTGTAGTAGAAGAACTAGAACTATAGTAGTGGTCGTGATGAGCGTTAACTCTCGGAAGACTTGAATGACCTCCAGCTCTGGTCCTGTTTAGCACGGGGGTTAGTAGTCACTCTTTGATGGTTGTACTCCTGCAACTGTAATCCCGGGGAGAGTATCAGCTCATTTACATGTAGGAATTAGCTTTCTGTTATTTCTTCAGGATAGTGAACCATCGAAAATGACAAGGGTCATTAGTTAATTTTTTTTATGGACAGAAACATAATGCTTGACTTTTTAAAATTTGAAAACATATGAGGGTAAAATGAAGCAGTGTGTGTGGATCCCCTTTACCATGTGAAATTGTCATGGCCACGTGTCACAATAAGCATTGTATCTTTTAGGCAGCAGAGACATGTTTCAAATAGGCATCCCTGCCGGAACAAGTTGAAAGGACTTGGTAGTCATGCAGAGATCTACCGAATGCAGACAGACCTGGCTTAGCCGACATTTCGAATGACAGTCACAGTTTAAATTTCACCAAATGAGTTCATTTCCAAGCTTGGACCAGTGCCAAATTATCATCGGCCCAGAATAGAATGTCAACTGTTCATGTCAAAAAGCAAGGAACTGTTGGAACACAAATCTGGATGGCTAACATGTTACAACAGAGCTCTGTGTACGGTAGATAGACAGAGATGAGATTTCTCAGCTTTTTAGCTGATTTCAGCTTTTTTTGTTTTGGATTTCAGCTTTTTTTCCTCACTGGCTACGTACAAAAGTATAGGAGATTTTCACAGTTCAGCTTCTTTATGCCTTTTTTTTTCAGCTGTTTTCAGCTATTTTTATCGTTGGTCAATCTCACCTCTGGATAGAAAATAGCGCCAGCTTCAGATTTCGGACACAAAAAGGCTGCTCATTGTGTGTACAGTAAAGCATGCAGCTAGTATGCATTTGTACTATAAACTCTCCATGTGCACTGGTGCATACACCTGCCTTTTTTTCCCCAACATTGATGGCACTTACATGTATGTCGCAACTCTCTATATACTGGGCACTGGGTTAAACCGGCACCTCTGAAATGCAAAAAAAAGGAGGGGCTGGGCTGTGTACTTACTGATGTCTTGGCTGTATTGTGACAGGTCCTATGGAATGATTTTCTTTTAATATGCACTCAAATTCTTGACGCGCTCGCGTGGGTTCTGTTTACCACCTCTTTCAGCGTCTTTCCATTTTCGGAGTATTCGAGGAATTTTTTCATCAGCCTTTGTGGTCAAGTGCTGATGAGATTTCTTGCATTTTTACTTCTGGCACAGCAGTGATTAAATCTAAATGCGTTAGCTTTGAAGTCATGGCTGTTCAACAAACATACCGAGAGTTTCATATCAGACACATGCACCAGCGCTTCAACTCGAGCAAATTTCCCATCAAATATTTTGTGACGTCATCGCTGCTTCGTTTTGCATTCAGCCAAAGCATGAGCCGGCCTTCAGACTGGTTCCTTTGCATTATCCTACAGGTCCACCAGTACATGAACGCCCTGCCGGACGACAAGATCCCCTACGTGAACAGTGAGGGGGAGAAGTACCGCATCAAGTCGTTGATGCAGCAGCTGCCTCCCCACGACAACGAGGTGCGCTACTGCAACGGGCTGAGCGAGGAGGAGAAGCGGGAGCTGAAGCTGTTCAGCGCCCAGCGCAAGCGGGAGGCACTGGGCCGGGGCACGGCCAGGCCCCTGCCCCTGACCCTGGCCGGCTGCGTGTGCTACGAGGTGAGGGGTTATTGGGTTATTGGGGGAGGGAGATATTTATGGCGGCCTGGGTGGAATGAAGGTTAAAGGTTGAGAAAATTTCATTGGTTGTTTATATGTTCTTGAGTAGAGGTGAGGCTGGAAATTGAGGGGAGGGGGCCGAGGAAACTTAAAGGTGTAAGCCCCGATTGCAGCTTTTTCCCCCCCCAAATTTTACACTAGCAGACTTTTTCAGTTTGGTGTCTTGGATTTGTAAACATTTTCTGTATACCTGAAATCTCAAGAACAATTGTCAGTGTTCAGGTACATTCCTGAAAGATGTGCACACATTCATATGAAGACTTGATGTTTGTAAATCGGCATGATTTTGTTTTAAAAAGCTATTCTTTTGATGGGAATTGCCAAGCCCTTTTTCAGAAAGCTCACACATCATTTACCAAAGCACAGTTTTTCAAATGTTGCCCTGATATCAAGCCTTTAATTTCTTCTTCATTGTTACCTTAAAAAGTACTACCAAAAAAAAATCCAAACAGTGTCTTTGATTTATGGTATGAAACTACTTTTTTTCAGCTAAAAGCCATAAAATTTAGTATTGATAAATTGTTATTTGAATGGAAAAAACTGTCTTCAAATCATACAAATTTTGACATTTGATAAACATTAGTCCCAATTCTGTCACTCGCATAAGGTAATGCCCTGTCACACAAGCACTACATCTTGGAATTTGACAAGTCATTGGAAGCGAAGCCTGTAGTTTATATGAAATGCCACAGCCTCACTGTTGGTTTTCTCCCTTTCAGGCACGCAAACCGTGCGAGTTGCGGTCTGGTCATTTGGTTAGGTTTTCGGCCCCATGCAGTGGGGGCTTCATTTCACGGTTGTGGCTGCACGCCGAGCGCTATTATTGTATGTAACAGATCTGACTCCCGGTCTGTTTTAATAACATTGGCTGTTGTCAGAATGCCACAGCTCGGCTGGATGGTGCAGGTTCATTTTTCCTTGTTACCCATGCCGTGTAGTTGAAGGTGTAGAGTGCACACTTGCAGTTGGGGAGCATCTGTGCATGTTTACGCTTAGCTACAGAATACTGACACTCAGAGTGCACCTGCTCAGGATTGCTGGGTGTCCAAGTGAAAAGTTGTTTGTGGCAAGCAAATTGTTTTCTCTGATGTCCTCTGAAAAAAAATCAGCAGGGAATCTTTGTGTTGTAGTTTGTTGTTCAGTGTGCAAGCTACACGTGAATGGCTGAGGCAGTCACATACATGTAGTGGCATGAGCCTTGCTCCTTTCAGCTGAGCACCAGTGATATCAGCTGGTAGTGTACACATGTGACACTTCAGCTGGTATCCTGCTTCGTGCTGAAGGTTTTTCTTCCTTCTCAAATTTAGCATGCAGCTGAGCTTCAATTTTTTGGGGGTACACTTTTAACAACAAACATACGGCCAGCGAGTTCCTTACGATCGGCCGGCCTACATATATTGGGGCAGTGATAAGTTTGTGCAACCCCCCCCCGGAAGCCATTTGAATTTATGAATTCATAGTTCCACCGCTTTCTAAAATGTCTCACTTCCTGTCGAAGTGACTGCCAGTTCTCAATTTATCAGGCTGATTTTTTTTTGTGTGATACCAAGTGACTGCATTTCAGTGAAGAAGGGGTATCAGTGAAATTGCAAATGCCTAAATATGTTGTGTGTAAACACTGAAGCGGTCGAGTCCGCCATCCCCAAGTGCCAAACGTTGGGTCCGGGGCATTGGATACTCAACACCCGACGCCAGAAACCCTCAGACGGAATTTTGTGTTCCCTGCTTGAAAACAGCCATACCACTTCAAGTTTTGGACAGGGGAAAGAGCAAATTTCAACGTTGTTCCCTTTATCCTTTCAATTACCAGGTATTTGCAAATGCTGACATTGAACGGACTGAAAGGATTTTAATTCAGTGTCCTACAAATGAACCAACTGTCTTGTACGGACATGTAGGTTGTACTAAAAAGAAAGTGCTTTTAGTGATACGTGTATAATTTCACAGGCTTGGCTTTCAGTACAGATACCAGTACAATGTACTTCAGTGAAGTCGATCACTCACACTAATATTAACTCCCTCAGGAGCATTTGCCAGTTAACTTTTGAGTGCACTCAAATTTGCATTGTTCAATTAAGTTTGAAGTCAGAAACCACGACATTGAAATCCACCCAAACGGTACTTTTTTTTTTCAAATTTATCATGGTGAATGTTTAATGGACCCTACATTTCATGTTGGGCATCTACCACAGTTGCAGAATGCTTTGTTTGATTGGAGTAAAACTTTAAAGGCTGACATCACATTTCTGTCATCAGTGTATCATTGATTTGATTATCATCACATCATTGGTTGCTGAACCTTGGGATTTCAGGAGGTCAGCTCAGTGCAAATGTGTTCAGTTGGTGTTCTTCATTAAAGCATGATGAAAATATGTATAAATCCCAGGCTAGGGAGGCATGGTATTTTTTTTAAAGGATCCAGGAAATAAATTTTTCTTAGAATTACTTTTTTGTGTATCTCTGTACTCTTCTTCCATGTATGAAGACTATTTGACTTTTTTTTGAGATATGTCAACTGAACGGTGCACTTTTTCAAACATTAAAAATTGACCAAGCATTTCTGGACAAGTGAGGGTGCTTTTGCTTTGATGCAAATCCAGGAAGACATGATTCAGGTTGCATGTTTTCATGTTCAAATTGTGAATTTCAAATTTGTTATCTGGGAACATTTTTGTGAAAAGGATTTTTGCTGGATCATTGCCATATACTTACACAGCAAGGAATGGCCAAAGAAAATGAAATCTGCCATAGCAGGGGTTAAAAAAATTCCAGAAATTTTCTGTGCACAAATCAGTGCAACATTGAGATGCAGTGCCTTGGATGACATCATAATTCTGCTCATGAATATGCAAATAGCATTAGCATAAAAATAAAAAAGCATCAAAAATATGGGTTAAAGTTGCAGAACAAAAATTTAGAATGAGGTTAATTGAAACCCAAAGGTTCAATTTCAAGGGTTTTTTGTCAAATCTACAAAAATATTTCTCTTTCCTTGTTCCTTTAAGGTTTCGTTTTGCAGGCTTCACGAAGCATCAGGTTCCAATGTAATCAAACCCTCGCTTAAGTAGATTGTCCTTGTTCTCTCGATCTCTCTCATATCCCTCCACAGTGCGGCAATGCTGTCTGCGGCGGAGACATCGCCATCTTCGCCTCGCGGGCCGGCCCCAACGCCTGCTGGCACCCAGCCTGCTTCATCTGCACGGTCTGCAAGGAGCAGCTGGTGGATCTCATCTACTTCTACCGGGAGGGCAAGATCTATTGCGGCCGGCACAACGCCGAGACCATGAAGCCCCGCTGCGCTGCCTGCGACGAGGTAACTCATTGGATAACTTCATATGGACATACAGAATAATCACAGGCCTTCCTGTTCTTTCAAAATCTACTTGGGAGTTCAATGGTTTTTGCAGGATTGAGGACTGTTATGTGGAGCCTAGCTTCTTTATATAATTTTTACATGGGAATGGGTTGACCCTGGCCATTTTAGCATAAAGAACGTGCCAGTAGTGGTCTTCAGAGAAGTTGATTTCAGATAATGCAAGATATTCTTAATTAAAATGCAAAGGAAGTTAGGGGTAATTTTTATAGTAAGAAATAATAAATCTAACCCACTTCAAAGTATGTTGTGAAACTGTTACTCTGAGGAGAGCTTACAAAATGTGGCCAACTACAGTAACCCTTAAAACAGTAACATTCTCCAAAATATCCTCATAGCACAAGTCAATTTGAGGTCACAATACACTGAGAAATTTACGTGTTGTGGAACAGAATAAAAGCAGGTAACAATTTACTAATTTACCAACTACATGTACGTACAAACAATTGGAAGTGTTTTCTTTAAAAAATAGCCCAAATATGTTCATCTCAAATGTACCAAAATTGTACTGTTCAGAGGCCCACTACATCTTGGAAATCCAACCCCTTTAAACTAATTGTAAATTGGCTTCTATATTAGACTATTATGCATTCATTGAATCAACGAGACCAGGTTTTAGATTCTAATGGACAGAGGCTTATGAACTGCCTTTATTGACTCAAGCATTAAACCCAGAGGCAGTTTCACTTAATGAACCGGATTGCTTTTTATCTCCTTGATTTCTCCAATCTTCAGATCATCTTTGCCGATGAATGCACGGAGGCCGAGGGTCGCAGCTGGCATATGAAGCACTTCTGCTGTTTTGAGTGCGACAAGGAGCTGGGCGGTGAGCGCTACATCATGCGGGAGGGCAAGCCCTACTGCTGCACCTGCTTCGAGACCATGTTCGCCGAGTACTGCGACACGTGCGGCGAGCCCATCGGGGTGGACCAGGGTCAGATGTCCCACGAAGGCCAGCACTGGCACGCCACGCAGAAGTGCTTCCAGTGCTGCACCTGCGGGGTCTCGCTGCTGGGCCGCCCCTTCCTGCCCAAGCACGGACTGATCTACTGCAGTGGGAGCTGCAGCCGGGGGGAGAAGGCAGTGACGGCTGGCCCCCTCACCTCCCCACAGGAGATGGACGACCCCATGGGGCTGGGCTCGCCCAAGATGAGCCGCAGCCGGCGGCCGATCAACATGGAGGAGCTCAACCTGGACAACCTGTCAGTGGCCACTGCGGAGGAGCGAACGCAGCAGTCTATTCACCGGTCGCGCAACCTGTCGCGCCACTCACTGCCCGACCTGCGGCGCCAATCGCAGACATCAGCTGAAGACAGGCGGCGTGCCAGTGTCAGGACTGCCTCAGAGAGGAGACGGAACAGTACTGCAGCAGCACAGAGCCGGGCCTATAAGGAGGAAGCGGTGCAGGGCAGGTACAAGGCTGCACCCAGCACGGATCAAATGCAGCGGAGGGCAACCAGCGACGTTAGAACGGCCACAAACACCATTGGAGGCTCCCAGCGAACACAGTCCACACACAGCATCAACGAAGAGCGCTTCGTCACCCCACGCTCGGACAGTAGCTACAGGCACGGTCTGGTGCCCAAAACCAATGCCAACTACCACAATGGGATGAGGAGGCCGGAAACCATGGGACACTACTCCACGCAGCCCAGGAATCCCCGGGATCCGGAATACTTTGACCGAAAGTCCAACGTGTACCACTCGGAGAGGGTCACGGGCCGCTCACGCTCCGAGATCACGCTCGATCAGAGAGCCGCTATGGATCGCTACTCCAGCGGGCGGAGGAGGGGTTACCGTGATGACTATTTCTCCAGTTCATCCTCGTCAGAGGATGAGGACTATTTCAGCCCTAGTCACAAGGCTCAGCTGGGGCCCAGAATCCGTTACGTGGAGACCTATGCAAGGACTCGTTCTCAGTCGCAGCCTTTCAATCAAAAGCAGTCTGGCCATCGGAAGAAATCCAAGCAGAGAGGAAAGAACTGCATCGTGTCCTGATGTAGCATTTTTGTAACATTATCAAGTTTGTGCTATGAGACTTTTATACGCAAAAGTATCTGTTACATAAAAGAGAAGACGATGTAAGTCATTTCTTTACATATTTTTGTTACTCCATATCCCGCCTGACATGCTTTACACGTCAGTCATTGTCATATTTAACCCTAACACTTCAATCCTTCACCTGTTGGAGGACTGAGGACTGTTAGGGTCAATATAAAATTTTTGTCCACGTCCACGGAGTGTGTTAAGTGCCACCAAATTCACTCAACTTAACAAAAAAATGCCTTAATTTAAAAAAGTAACTCTTTCAAAACAGCTGGCTTTGAACTTACCGGTAAGGTTCTCAAGGGCGAGACTATTTCAGGCAATCATAACACTACACCTGGGTTCACATATTTATATTGGTGGGTCATTTGGTATTTCTTTGGGGTCCTTCTTTTTTTTTTTTCGTGTCTCTATCACATCTGATGTATGATTTATACATTTACAAACGCGTTCTTTAAATTGCAAGAGTGATTAAGTAATGCAAAGTACCTGTCAGACATAAAAAAGGTTTTGAGTTCACTTCAAGAAGTATTTCGTCATCACATTAACTGGTGTAACGGACACAAACGTCACTTGCAGACCTCCCATTCATAGAATGACCCGTGCACATTTTTATAACCCTGCGTAAAGCTCTACAAATCAGATTTTTTATTAACCTATGATTTTTCTAGTGTGGACATGGGTGACCTGTGCAATGTCGCTCCAAGGTTTCTCTTGTACCATTCACTGGAACCATATACCATTTAAACACACTGAGCTTGACTTGCACTGTCAAACTGGATGCACATATGCGCTTTATCACTGGCCGCAATTTTGTGTCTAGAGTAGGCAACAGCACCCTCAGAGTGCGAGTCACGTTCTCAGACCCGGAAGTATTGGGAATTACACTGCACACTCCAGTTCTTGAGATTACCAAACTTCTTGTCTCCATGATAGCAGAAATTATCGCCAAGTTTAGGACGTGCCTGTCCTTTCATGAAAACGTTTGTGGCCACGGGGGGAATTTTGAAGCTGTCGTAACAGGTCAGGAAAAGGTGTTCAAATTGAAATCCGAGGCAGAGTAACAGCACGGACCTCAGTCTGCATAACTTTTGGCTGCTGCCAGGCAGAAGGGTATATTCAGCCAACTTTTGGCATTGTAAGTTATGTGGGACAAAACGAAGCCTGAATGACCTGCCAGGATACGGCGATTTGTGTCTTTGCATACCGCCGTGTGTCATTACACTGTAATGTTGGCACCAACCAAGCTAAGGAGATATTTTACAGTCAATGGTCATGGCTTTAAAGAGCTTGGCAGCTTGACATCATACTTACCTTTATCACTTTGAGCTGTGTTGTCCTGTACTCCCGCTGGTAGGTGGTAAGAAAATTTAAACCACTGGATCCCTCAAACTGAGAGGCTATTTTGTATGGTACTCCTGGGCCCTGGCCAGTTGTAGGCAAGATTTCTTCAGTCAGGAAACATTGGGTGGAGTTGTGAATGCTTTCATGTGTTCCCACAGTTTTAAGCTGGTGTCCGGCATGTGTGTGGTTCCAACCAATTACAGAACAAGTGCGGCTGCCCTGGTCGGCGCCAAGCTGCGGGCAAGACGCGTTTGCCAGAAAATTGGGGCGGACTTCAGTGCATCCCCACAAACCACAGAACAGGATTGTGTGAACTGTCTTCTCTCTACTCCATTCACCTGCACAGCGTAACCTCGTTATTTCATCTCACCCACACCACGCATTTTCTTGTTGAATTTCTACTCTCCAAAACCATGTACATACCTCTTCTCAAAAGGAATGTGAACTTGCCTCAGTATGAAATCGTTCATGTACATGTACATCTAGCTTTCACTTTTCAGTATGTGTTCAACTCCACACTGCTGCTGTCACACAGACGCTATCCCATAACTTCACAGACGCTATCCCATAACTTCAACAGATTTGTGATTGTTTTGTTGGCTGCTATTGCTGTCTAATTCAGCAGATATACCACTGCACTGTACTTCAATATACAAACGTCAGTACAAGTGTTCTGTATTCAACAAAATATTCCAATATTTTTATGGTTAATGTTTAAAGCTCTTTTTCAAATTCAGCTGATAAGTGACATCTAATACAGCACTTGCTTAAAAAATAAAGAAAACAAAACAAACAAACAGTCTTTGGTCCCAAACTTATTACACTGTCATTGTGAACTTGTCATATAAATGTATTCAACCAGAAATTCCACTGTTTCAGTCTGCTGCAAAGAGTAGTTCTGAGATTTTAAAGAGGTGGTGTTGATGGGGAACCAGATGCAAAAACATTTGTATTCAACATACTGTTTTTCAAATTTGGTACAAATTTCTGATTTTTACGAGTCAATTTCAGTACTTCTCATCAACTTGAATTTAGTGCTTTACAGACGTTGTGCGTTTTATAGCATTTGTATTCTTTCAACAAATGTTCATAAACTGCTCTTGATCTTGATTAATGTACGCATTCAATCGCAAACATTATAAGAATTTATCATTGACATTCATGGTTAAATCAATGTAAATTTGTATTGTGTTTGTAGAAAAATAATAAAGGCCACTTGGTAAATATGTAGTAGTCGTTTCATTCTTTGAACTGTCGCGTTGGTGTAAAATTTTACAAAATTCCTCATTTTAATTAGTTTTAAAGAAAATACGCATCTCCTTGTACACTGTATATCAGTATTACAGCAAGGTTTACCCTGTTAATTGCCTCAAAATTTGAACCCAACACCCTTGGCTCAGAATTAGAAAGTACACTTTATTTAATATAACTACAGGTGCTTTTTCTGGTCGTGGGGTGTTCCTGCAGTACTGGTAGAAAGTTTGCCAATCTGTGTGGTCAACTCACAGCTGCCTCTTGGTGAGTTTTATCTTGACATCGTACTTGGCCCTCAGGATGAGCTGGGAGGACAGGACGACTGGATGGTCGGGGTCCAGCTCGATGCGGAATTGCCGCAGCAGCCGGACAAGCAGCACTTTCTCCTCGTTCATGGCAAAGTTCTGGCCGATGCAGTTCCTTCGGAAGGAAGGGGGAAAGACACTCAGGAGAACCAGTTCTCAGGAATTCTCCCCCTCTCCCCCCACCCAAAGACCAAATTTTGGCGGAAATATCAACATAGTGAGTCAAACCCATCAGTGACTGCCCTGCCCATTACTACGCAGCCTGCTACATCCCATCTGCTGACCACAGGCAACCCCCCCTCACAAGCAGAGACCAACTGGTGGGAATAAAAAATTCAAACTGGTGCACTGTACATTCAACTGAAACTAGTCGCGCATGCTCAGTGAGCTCCATGCCAAATGAGCATATCAACTCTTGTGTTGTGCACTTGGGGTGTGTTCCTGCCAAAGGACCATTGTTTCTGTGTAAAAACCATGCCCTTTAATTTGTTCGCTAAAAAATAGCCCCAGCATTCAGATGGCTTGCTGGAGTAACCGATAAATTAGTACTGATGCTAAGGGGTCAACAGATCTCAACCTCTGACATTTACATCAGTTGGGCAGGAAATCTTGAGAAAGTTGGTATCCTGTCCCTGTGTTGTGGGTATTTTCAGTTTTAGGGGTACAGCAATGAAGGTGGTTGGTGAGCCAATGCAGGTGTGAACTGACCTTGGCCCGGCCGCAAAGGGAAGGTAGGCAAAGGGGTCCATCTTCTGAACATTCTCTGCAGAGAACCTTTCTGGAATGAACTCCTGCAGAATGTGAAAGGATCGGCTGGAAAATAACTCGGCTGAAGGTTGAACGGGGACACTGGAAAAGTCACCGTCACGAGAAGGCGGTGTTTCAACACAATGGACTGGTCGTGAAGCTTTTGATTGAGTGGCCTTGATGTTGTGTCGGGCATAAACCAGGATAGGAAAACAATCCCACTTCAGGTAACAGTCCAAACAATTTTTATGTTCTGTTTTCAGCAAATTTTTCAAGTCACCTTTACAATGTGGCAGGATTGCATCTTTAAAAATGATGTGGAGATCTCCCTCACTGTTAACAATGTGCCTCATGGATAGGGTCAGGCCAAACATTTACTGGTCCTAGACAAGATCCCAGACTACGTCGAATCAGAATAAACCTCAATCTGACCATTCTCAGCTCTACAAGCGAGTGAAGCAACAGACTGGTTCCCAATACCTCAACTGGAATATGCAGGGAGAACCTGTCTGGACCGCCCCCATCACTGAAAAAAATTCTTTACAAACGTACTCTGCGTGGAGTGGTATTAACATGGAGGACACTTCTTTCACGTCCAACAGCCAAGGCTAAATCTAGACTTTTTGTTTTTTACAGGCACTGAATACGCTGGGCTAGAAATGAGGAAAGTGCAAATACACAAGGAAGTTCAAGGGACGACCAATTGGTTGACCACTGGTCAACTTTCCTTGGTGACCTGTGCACAAAATAAATCCAGGCAAAATCGACTGCAAATTCGAGAGGTAGCTTAGTCGAACTTTTTCCTAAAATGATCCACACTCGAACTATGGACGCAAGTAAAGATGCGACTCTTGTCGTTTGCTTACCATGTGGTTGGGCCATATCTCCGGGTTATGATGCAGATTGTAGATGGACACGTCCACGGTGGTCCCCGCTGGAAGAATCTTGCCGTCGATCTCCACATCATTCTGAATGACCCGCTGGATGAACGGCACCGGCGGGTAGATTCGCTGTGACTCCTTCAGGCACTGAACGAGGTATGGGAATTTGCCAAGATCATCCCTGTTAGGGAAGGAAATAAATAGGTTGTTATCAAGCAAGAATATATGGAGTAACAAAGAAATGAAATAACTTTTATTAGGTCAAGAGGAAAGAAAATAATATTTACCAGCACAATCCCCTGAACTTTGTTTCAACACTTTAAATGCTACCCCTGCTCACCGTACCAATCAATCATTTCTGAAACCACCTCGGCATTCTTAGAGGTCCTAGGTTAACCTATTACATATTCAGCACTGCCTTCACGTTTTACTCTATCTTGCTCGAAACACAAGGACCACAGCCGGGCATAACCCACCACTCGACGTTGTCCGAGCTACGGCCAGCCAGCACGTCGTCAATTTCCTCCTGCACCCTGGCCTGATGCTCGGGGTGACGAGCCAGGAAGTACAGGATCCACGTCAGGCTGCTGGCCGTGGTGTCATGGCCCTCGAAGAGGAAAGTGTCCACCTCATTACGGATCTCCACGTCAGTCAGCCCCTTGCCATCCTCATCTCGGGCAGAGAGGAGGATGTCCAAGAAGTCCAGGTACTTGCGGCCGGGCGATACGGTGGTATCGGCCTGCTGGGCTTTCTCCTGCATTGAATCCAGGTCAGAGGCATTCTTAACCACTTGCCAACAGGACTATTTGTGGCTGAAAAGTGTGACACGATATAGTGGCCAACTTCTGATGTATAGTCACACACCAGAAATGACAATTCGCAAGAATCATTTAAACAGTATTTGTATATTTTCTCACTTCAGCCCCATATCTTTTTAACACTCCAGGGTGCACCCTTTCCTAAACAGCACAAAGTACGTACAGTGACAAAGTTCAACATGTGGTCTGCCTCAACAGACGTCTCAAACTTTGGGCGAAGTACAAAATGAATGGGGATCAGTGTGTGTGGACGTCAGCTGCTGGCGAGTAGAGGCACGCTTGACATCATAACCCGTCAGATTTGATCAGATTTACACATCCTGACTGACTGTCACTATCTTTCTGAACAGGGATACACATGCTGAGCCTAGCAGCAGTGCATAAAGCACAACTATTATTGTTGTTAACATTACCAGCTCAGCTCGGCGACTCTTAATGACACTGTCGGCAAACTGGTGCACGTAATCGCAATTCTTCTGGAATTTCTTTCCCAAACTTGACATGTTGAAGAGGACATCAAAGTAATACTGAAACGCACTGGTGAGGGGAGGGGGGGTGGAAAAAAATAAATACATTTTAGAAAACTGCAATGCTGCCATTGCTGAATTACGTGGTATATTGGGCAATACAGCCGTTTCACAATAGTGCACCACCAAGAGTTTGCAACGCGTTGGCCAATCACAATGCGCGGAATTTGTCGACCCATTGCGCGTTTGGAAAGGGTCGACAAATTTCGTGCGTTCTGATTGGTCAATGCGTTGCAAACTCTTGGTGGTGCACTATTGTGAATCGCTCGTATTTGGCTCTTAGTACAAGAATATACACCAGCGATCCTTTTGAGTTTACTCTTTCTGAAATGAAATAGACCTCCCTCCAAAAAAGATGACTGCTGAAAGTGAACGGTCTCAATGCTGACATTTATCAGCTGTATCTACCCACTGCAGTCGGCAAATTTTAAGGAAGTCAAACAATAGTTCAGTACACTTTTTTCTGGAACCCCCAATAGAGTACCGAAGTGAATACGTCACGCGCACAATTAGTGTGTAAAAGGCATTAGCGCGAGAACCAGCACGTGAACCAACACGCGCGCGTACTCCATTCCTTTGCAATGCACTTTCTGGTTCACAGTGACGTCACACTTCGGTGCTCTATACATTTCATGCAGTGCTTGTTTAATCTTTATTTCTCTCAGTTAATAGGTTTTCGTTTCTTACGTATATCCGTCAGAACCGAGTAATTTCCTGAGTGACAACTTGAGAGACATGCTGCAAGTTTTTGTGTTCCTGAACGGTGTTTCAGAATTGCCACTATACTAGAAACCGAGATTTTGCAGACACTTACACAAGGCAAACATCGGCTAATCAAATCGAGGGATGCAGACGAAGGAAAGTTAATTGTGGTCTAGTGGAGTAAACCTTTGAAAAGTTCAATTTGACACCTTTACCACTTGCTGCCGGGTGGTTTGAAAAATGCAGTGCACACATATGGGACATTTTCAAGATTTCCAGTTTTCAAAGTTCTTCAAAAATTCATCATTTCAATTAATGGACGTTTACGCCCACACGAATGACTAGCTGATGGCTACTCTAATCTGACAGACAAATCTATTGACGCCTGAGTATTTTAGCCAGGCCTGCAGCCTTGTAAAAAGAGCCCACATTGTGCGGTGTTATATAATTTTCTTCTGTTCACGAACCTGGTACAGTGCGCTGCTGACCTCTTTTCAATAGGGGCCAGATTAGCATGCAGCGGTGCTGTGTGGCTCATCGCTGCGGTGGTGGAGCGCTTTTGTCCCCGGTGGTAATCCGCTCGCACTAAACACCCCAAACCGTGGTATACTGTTTCAGAACAAGGCTGGATTATCTCCACTATTGAGAGTGAAAAAATGTTGGTAATGCCCAGCAGCCTGGTCTTTTGTTACGAGTACGGCCTTTTGTTACAAGGCCCAGTTCCCTTTGTCTGATATCGGAGACCCCGGCCACGCGTATAAAGAATATGTGCCCGGTACCAGCAACCCCGGTGGTAAGTGGTTAACCAGGGGGAGTCTGGATGATACGACGTTGAGGTACCTCAGGAAAAAAGTTACAGACCAAGGCAGTGAAAACTGATACAAATTATAATTTTCCTGCCACGTGTCACTACCTGTGGTGCAAAGATAATTCCACAACAGAATGTTCTCAATGCCTGGCCCCAAAACCACTTGTTGGTGACAATTCAAGCCACAATCTGTTCTCTGATTTTCACTTTTCAATCAGTTTTAACAGTCCGTCAATTCTTCACGGTAAGGAAAAATGCAGGAATCATGCTGCACCCTGCTGACTAAGCCCTCTACTTACAAGCATCTTTCTATCACATCAGACGTCAATTTATGGACGGCTTCCACATAGGGATGTTCTCTGTAAACAAAACCAAAACACACTTTTATGTCAATAAGGTCCTCTTTTATATCAATAAGGTCCTTTGTTTAAAATTCTAAAATCAATCCCAAAGCTACAATGGAAATATAACAGATCTTGAATGATTTTTCCTTCAAATGAAAAAGGCGTCCTCTTTTCGCCCACCCCCAAAAATCAAAGGAACGACAAAACCCTTTGATGAAATTTCCATCTTTGATAACCGTGTATGAAATTTTTTCAAGAACCTGCCTGTTTTTCCCAAGTAATGATTTACACTTCACAGAGTAACAACAGAGTTGCTCAGATATCTGTGCTTGTAGACCAGAGTTTTAAAAAAAAAAACCTATATTTTATCTCAAGCAAGCGTTCTAATCATCTCAGGAGTTCTTTTTTTAACATTGTGTCAAAGTATCTTGCAAGTTTTCAGCCTTTAACAGTTAAATTTAATAATGAGACACAATCTTAATATCCTGACTGGACAGTGTGATGCCCATCATGCTCTGAACAAACAACTGAGGCATCTGTGTCTCATTTTTTTGGCCTCCAAAGATAGTTGCTGCCCCATTTCATGCAGGAGAGCATGCTATGCACATTTTGAATTCTTCGAGTTTTCAAGCAGAATCGGGGGATAACTAAATGATTTGTCAAAAGAGATTAGAAATTGTTATCTTCTTCTAAATGCCTCTGGCATAAACTAAAACAAATTGAAATGAAAATTAACCAGCCTGTAACAGTCCTGACACAACAGCCCACAGTGAATTAAAGACTAGCATTAAAGATCAGGAGGGCCACTGGGCATAAGTGTCTGCTCACCCACTGGTCTGACAGTTCATCTTCTGGGAGAAGGCACATCGCAGAAGGATGTCCAGGGTGCAGGCGCTGACATTCTTGGACACTTCAAAACTCTCCCTGCTCTCAGCAAAGTTGTCCATTTTCGCCTGCCAAGATGCACCCAGTGTACGGGTAAATTTTATTGCTTGGCAGCAAATGCCAGGAAGTTTAAACATGTATGCTAGTGGTCAGTCAGTGACAATAAAATATCGGACTTGTCTGCGAGTCCAGGTCCCTCAAAATTCAACTCCTGAATGCTGTTTCCAAATTCAGCTGTTTTCAGTCCAACATCTCAAAACTCTCTGAGATGTTGCATTCTATGGTTAAACAAGTTTTGTCAGACTCTTAAGTGTTTCCTGAAGTCAAGAGACAACAATAGTCATGTCTTAATACCCAGACTCATTTCCACCAAGCACGAGATAAACAAGCTGGTTTTCACTCACCAGTAAGATGTCCACCGCCTCGTTAAAGACTCCCATGTAGGGTCTCAGGACGTCAAAGTGAAAGGCCGGGGTGAGCAGGCGACGGTTACGGAACCATTTACTGCCCTTGGCCAAGAGCAAGCCCTCCCCTAGCCAGGGCAGGACGAACCGATAGCTGGGCTGTCCCTGCTGGAGCGGCTTAGGGTCTGCTCATGATGGGGTGAAAGAGATTCAAGGGTATTATTGAGGGAAAGAGATGACTTTGGTAATCATGAACAGTATGATTAAGCTTTTCAGTAAATTTGTTTGTGAGGAACATTGGTGTTTCTCTGTGAATGTCAAACAACAGAATGTCACTGACTAAGAACGATGTTATTCAAGTTATCAAGGAATCTTATACTGGAATGGTCTAGATGATTCTCTCAAATCATTACCTTCTTTATCTGTGTTTGTTAGAGATCTAAGAACTCGTTTGCTTGGCTCATATTCCTAAATCATATTTATTTGTGCTCTATTAATGCGGCGTTGTTTCGTATTTGTTTGTTTTGTCTTGTTCGTCATTTCCCTGTCCTATGTTAGATTGTAAGGTTGTTGTCTGTCTAAGGGTTGGGGTACAAAAGTGTTCCTGCTTAACCTTAAACCTAATTATTGTCATCTAATTTATCAAATGTGTAATCCTATGTTATGTAATGTTACTCAATTTAATGGCCAGACACATTCAGTACTTAAGTAATGTCAATGTGTTTGGTTACATTGAAAAGAATGACAGCATTGAAATAAATGTTTCATCATCATCAACTTCTTGCAATTAGATCTTGTCGTTTTTTTTACTATCCAGTCCAGAGTGGAACACGAAAAAATCTTTTCACCAGGGCCCTCAAATTGTGGAGGGGGATACTTGATGGGTCCTCATGTCTCCTCTGTTATGCCACAGTTGGTGTCAGCGACTGGATTCTACTTTCAAACCCCTCTGTTGGGTTTTGACGGAATCAGGAAGGTTAGCGTTAAAAGAAGTTGAGGTCTCACCTCCACTCTTTAAGATGGGCTTCATGATGTCGGGATGGTTGGCTGTAAGGACACCCCTCGTTGGACCCATGAAGAAGTAGAAGCCTCGTGGGTACTGGGCCGTCAACTCACGATGGAACTTAAACCCTGGGTCTCCGCCCTGACTCCGGATGTTTGCATCGAACATCGGATGCTGCAGTCACAAAAATAGTACAGTTTAGAAAAAAAAACCAAAACAAAGAAAAAAGAAAAGAAAAAAAAAGTTGTCTGTAACAGGAGAGACCTCGTCATGCTTCATAGAATTCGTGTTTCATTTTGATTCCAAGAAACCCAGCAGTGACAAGGAACCGGCACTGGCTGCAGCAAGGTACCATGTACCAACTCACGTAAGGAGACACTTTGTCAGTATTTTTCTGCAAATTTCGTGGAAAAATTTCAAAGGGAACTCCGTCTGGGCTTGGGCCCGAATTTACTTACAAGTCCTCAAGGTATTTCAGTCAGAAATAAAAATCAAAGACAGGTGACATTGGTGCACCAACAAGTCTGGCATCTGCCTTTGGCTACCATGCTTCTCTATTAAGAAGGGTAATTTTCTCAAGTAAACTTGGAAACTATCCTCACTTAGTTTGGGCCTTGTATGGTACTTCTCTAAGTGTGCCCAGGCAAATTAAAGGTATACATGCATGTACATTTACCAAACTTGAATAATTGCCACTCAAAATTATCACATTTTGTGTGGTAATATCAAAATTAAAAAAAAAATCACTGCAGTATTTATTGGTTTCATTACCTGCTAAGGCAGGTACAACTTGGTTAATAATCCCAACTTCCTGAAAGAACACCCCAACTGAACCTAGAATATAGGCTTGTGGACCATGTTTTGACAGATTCAAAACTTTTCAAGGCCGGCTGTCTATATTTTTCGACATCGCATGTGCCAAAGCGTAATTGCTCGATGGCCAGGTAATGGAAAAATGGGTTGGACTTTCAAAACTAAACATTTTTAGGAAGTTCACTTTTTTGTCATTACCTGGTGAATATTGCCATAGAGCCAGTGGGTTGGGAGTCCTGGCCATTGCTTCAGTGCAGCTCGTTGCTTGCGGACACCTTGGATTAAGCCCACAAGGAAGTAGGCTACGTAGCAAATTGTAGCAACTACCGCAGCAGAGAGGATGTATACGCTCAAAACCATGGTAACGGTCTCACGTCGTTCAGCAAGACCTGTCCAGGAAAACAGGGCAATACCGAAACAAGCCATTCAGTATTAATCAAGTTTGGGTGTGTTTAGTCCACATAAACCTTCTTGACATTCAATTTACTAATCTCCAACAGCCGGGAAGTGCAAAAGATGTCAACACTCTCACATTGAGGCAAGCACACAGTTTCCAGATGCCTGTCAGTCAACAATTTATCCCTGAGCAAAATTTGTGACTACTTGAGGATGTCTGACATTCTCAACTGTGGAGGTTGTTTGAACTTTTGTTGGGCACAATCTGTCGATCAGCGCAATCGCATCGCGCTATCAGCTGATCCAGTATCAAACCCAGTTCACGACGAATTAGCCTTGACCGAAAAGGCGATTGGCCGAGTGATGGTAGAATTGGCATTGGCTTGAGACATTTCCTATCAAAATGTATCAGCCAACATTATACACTCAGTTGGGCAAACCTATAACTTTAGCACTGTAGTCTGGTAGTTGGGCCCGTAAAAACTTCAGTTGGGACTGATGCTATATAGTTTGGGTTTGCAATGCTTCCAACACTTTCATAGATTCCATCAGTGGTGCTGGTGGCATCAGGAAGGAAATGAGCATTAGCCCCTGGTCAGCGTGGTCAGTGCCACTGGCCCATCAACCTGCCTAGTCTGATCGAGTAACTTGGCATCTACGAATTGTTAACATTTGGAGTAATTGGACATGGTCAGGGTATTCCCATGCTCGGACTTCGACCTGCCTACAATTTACAAAGAAAAGGAAAAGAGTCCCATACACGGATATCACTTAATTAACACCCTATGCACACACCCTACAAGACAAGCCTGAAACATTCTTGGAAAGTTGGGCCTATTCGACATTTTCATCGTTTAGTTTGACTTTTTATGGCATATTATCGCTTTCTGGGGGATGGAGTATTACTATACGGAAAAGTTAGTCAAGTCCTGATGTATTGACATGATGGAACTCTCACTGAAAACCACTGAAAAAAGGAAACTTGCGTTCTGATGGCGTAAACCGTTGACGTAGAGGAGAGAGGGATTTGCGCTACTTGCGTTCAAGTGGCTGTACTGTCTGCAGTCACTGTATTTATTTAGACGACGAGGGTACACATCTCTGGCTTGCTATGTAAACACAGAAAGAGGCTTTCAAATCGTGGCTTCCTAAGTGTCGGCAAGGGGTTCGTTTCATTTGAAAAAAAAAGTCCTTTCATTAGAATCCTTCCAACATAATGCAGGTCCGTTTTCTCGCTACTGCAAGAACCTCTAACTGTTTTATGTGAAATCAAAATTTGGAGTGCGTTTTATTCCAAGAACAAACTTTTAAAAATGATCTAAAGCCCCTGACATCAACCAAAACTGGAAATCAAGCCGAAATATTAAAAATGCCTTGACGTCTAGTCTAGCGCCCTCTATATTAGGCTAAGCTTAGACTGCGTCCGAATAATGTGGCTACGGCTCGAATTAAACGTATATTTGTGGGAAATGGGTGAAGCCGCAAAGTTGATGGCTTAAATAGGTGTACGTGTTGTTTCAGCCGCAGTCAAGTAATTTAGACGAGGCTCATTTACGCACGTGCGTACGTTTTCCACGAACGTTCCGTTTAATTGGTAACGTGACGCAGTGTGACACGGTGTCAGGGATATAGGTAAGCATGGTGAGCGCTCAACTTCGGAATAAAACTCGAACAAATTAGCGGTGAAACCAAGACGTGAACACAGATCCGATTCTTTGAATCCGAATCTGCTACAGGTATATTAAGCTGTCTTTAGTGAAGTGACTTGTATGGATGAAATGAGGTTGAGGTGTTTGGTTTGAAGGTCGACCATTTTCCGAACAGTGGGTAACGTTAGGCCTAATGTTAGGGGGGGCTTTGGGATGGTGGTGTTACTGTTGTTAGGTGTGACCATGGTACATGTACCAGGAGCGTTTTCTTTTGGTGGAAAGAGCTACATGCACGGACATCGCTAATATTTTCCTTCAATGGTAAATCAGCAATCAGAAAGTGATAACATACCTGAAAAAGTCAACTTTAGCATGAAAAATATTACATTTATTGGGAGAAAATACTTAGATTTTTTTTAGAGGTTGACGACTACAGTACTGACCATGGTTTGTTAACTTTGTCAGTTTGTGCACATTTTGTCAGAAATGTTTTGTCAAGTGATGTATGTGTATGGAACTCGTTCCATTTTGCTATGCCTTTTATTTTAGGGCCAAGGGCCAACATCCAAATTGTACATGTCGTATTATGTGGCCACATGTGGTAACCCTGCTTGCGTGCTCCACCTCTAGTTTTCGGTGTATCATTGGTTACAAGAGAATAAGTTAAGCTTATACCACTGGGGATCAAAAATCCAAACATCTCAAAAACCTGCTTGGCCATTTCGGATTTAGCAACTTCTCTTAACTGCTCAAGTTACAGTTTTCTGAACATTGTATTCACAGAACTGAGCGTCCTTCAAGGTGGAACGCTGACGCTGTTGATGTCATGACCAACCAGAGAGCAGGGAGGCCTTCGGTGGCCCAGAGCTGCCGGACTGGACTGGGATTCTTGAAGTTCCTCCAGGAGAGCGAGCGGGGAGATGTGGACGACAAGGAACAGATGAAGAGGGTCTTTCTGAAAGAGTTCAAGCCAACACTTGAGAAAGGGGGAGTAGGTACGGTTATATACAAGTTAATGTCAAAAGGTGGCAGCAAACATGGATGAGTACTAACGAAGCATCGACAACCTGAAAATGCAGTCTAAAGCTTCAATGGAAGTGTTATTTAGAAGATTCACATCTACTCTGACATGAAAAACAGGGCAAATCCTCGTCCGTAGATGTGGAGGAAAACAAATTCTTTTCACTAAGAGTGGAGGCTCCGATTTTTCTCTTGGTGGCACGCAAATAAAATGGGGGCCAGCTGGGCAGCATGAAGAGCGCTGGCATTTACACTTTGGAACCCAGTTAGTATTGTTTACAGGTGAAAATGTTCATGTTTTTTGTTGCCGTTTTTGTTGCAGGTTTCAATTTCTCATCTATCCTTTATGCTCTGAAGACAAATGGGAAGATCCGAGTCAAGGACGGCCGTGTGGAGATCTTGAAAGGCTTCCTGGCTGTGGACCAGTACGTGACCCTCAAGAAGCACACCCTCGACCAGAAGGAGCAAGCCAGGGCCACCCCTGGGGATCGGAGGGTCGGAGGCGGGGCAAGGGGCAAGTCGGGGGAGGGGAATGAGCCGTACCCGTTCTATTGCGAGGAGTGCGGGGTGCGGGGGAACTCCCACCAGTCCTTCAACGGCCACCTGCAGGGTACCAGGCACCGGCAGCAGATGATCCTGAAGTGTGTCAAGAGGAGCAGGTGAGAGATCGTGCCTCCCTATGAGTGGCTTCCATCAGAGTGCATCAAAGCACAGAGAGGGGGGCCTTCCTAAAGCCAACTGGGTAGGATTTTGCCCTAGCCTTGGAGATCTTGGCTTTCCCAGTACTAAGAAGGTTACCATCTGAATTTGAAATTTGGCGTGGATGTCAAGACGGGCAGTATTTGAAGTTTCATTTTAATCAAAGATTTTTGGGTTTATGATTATTTATAGCCCCTGCTTTCCCGAATTTGACCCAGCAACAGGAAAAATTCATATTTTATCTGTCATGGGAGGAATGGACATATCATAAATATGATGCATCTGAATTTCATAAAATTGGTGTCAAAGTGACTGCAAGACAACAGCGAAAAACTGTCGAAGGCTGGGCAAGATTAAAAAAGGCATTGGGACGATATCAGAGATTCTAAACAGGGATGGAGGGCGGATGGAATCTAGGCACTGGTGCCCTTCACGGTTAGGCCGTTCAAAAGCAGTGTTCCCCCACAGTAATGAATCACAAACTAGTGACTGGTCAAGAACTGGTCTTTCAACTGTATTAGGTTTGTCATTTGCAGGAGTGATCATTGCAAGAGTTTGTGCCTTGCAAAAGTCGTTATCTAACTTGTGTGAAGAACAGGTTGAAGCAAACTGAAGTCATTGAAAACTCCTCTCCTATAAACTGTCCAACAGGGTCCATACACTGTCAGTTTCCATCACTGCTTTCTTGATGCTGCTGTTACTTTGCTTTGATGTGTCAGGTCAAAGTTCATTGAGAACAAAAATGGCATTGAGATTACCAGTCAGCAGGACGGTCATGACGGGATAATAGCCCTGAAGTCGACGCAGGGCACTGGCCAAAAGTTGAGCGTCACTGTCAAGAACAGAAGGTGAGGTTTGGACACCAATCGCATCAGGCTGCAAGGGACCGGAACTTGCTAAGCCTAGGAAGTATGTGGTAGTAAAATGACAGGCTACCAGCCAAAATTACTGGTTCTCAGCAGGGTTTTTTGCTTAGCTTACAAATTTCTGCCTCAGAATATCTTCTACAAAGCGGCTCTCCCAAATTGGGTCCCGTAGGTCACACATTTCACCAACAGAAGGGCACTGCCCTCCTGGTGGTAGGTCTAAACAAAACTGAGCATGTGATCGTTACATAGAAAAGTCGTCAACGTCAGAACATTGTGACAGGTACTGTTCATGGGCAACTTCGAGCAACAACCATAGTTGACCACTTTTGGATCAGTGTTACTGAAATGATGAACAGTTGGATTAATCTAGTTAACCACTGGGACCAGGCCCTCGGACACGATATCATTGCCCGTTATTAGTAACCTTTTTTCAAAAGTGATTACAGCAAGAACCATTAACCGTAACAGTCCCAAATCCTCCGATTTCAATACAATTTTACATTCACCCTAGGGGTTAGAGCTAATAGAAAGAAACTGTGTGTGACAGAAGAGACCTCAAAGTGTACAGTGACAATATCTTTCGACAACAGGGTCCAACTGGGGCCATTTTAGTGGGTTGGTAAAAGGCAGGTGACCAGTGGTCTCGAACTTGCCCACAGATGGCACTGGACCACTTTTCTGAACACTAATTATGATAGTGATTCCAGCGTTACTGAAAGGAGCGTACTTCTTATGCTCACAGCCTACCTTGACAATGATTGTGTCTTCTCTGGTTGACAGTGACAGGGACACCATTGCGTTCCTCTCCTGCGTGTTTTTGAAAGTGCAGCCAGCCTTTGTACTGACCGACGAGTACGAGGTCAGTCAGTCCAAAAGAGTCGTGCACCTGAAACCTGGTAAGCGACACCTCTTTTGTACACTGGGATGGCACGTAGCTGTTGGTAATTGGCAGTGCAGCCAGCTTACCCGGACTTGTCCCAGGTAGTTGACTAGACCAGGCAATGCAGGCATGCAACATTTTCTTGGATAAGCTGATTTTCTGCTTGTTCTGTTCTTGTTATTGCTTTTTTATTAACTGAATACTGTAGAGTACCAGCATGAATGCATCACAGTCTCATGTATTCATGTGAGTGCAAGAACCAGCACGTGAAACAACACGCGTGCGTTACTCCATTCGTTTGCTCTACACTCTCTGGTTCACAGTGACGTCACATTTCGGTACTCAGTAACAAATTTAAAGTCACTGCACAGCATCCTGAGCAGTTTGGAGTGTCTGAATTTTTCCTCCATTCCAAATCGCATACCAACTAATTAAACCAATCCAACATGCATCAACTTGTTTGCCTTTAAAAAATTGCTGGTATTTTTGTAGCATGTTAATAAGTACCGCAGGTTCTTTTAGAAAGCAATTAGTCACCTATCCACTTCAGACCCAAATTGTATGCCCCTGGTCTGGTTTGTTTCAAAGGGAGCGAGTACAGTCTTCAGGTGGCCGTTGAGAGTGACTCTGTTGGAATTCTCAGCAGCCCGCTGATATTCGCCTTCAAGGACGTCACATCCAACGAGGTGGGTTTGAACTATTGTCTGGAGATGGAAGGATCGGGCAGTGTTTTTTGACAAGGCACTTGTCTGAGAGGCAAGGTTGATGTGTGGAGTTGTGACTGTTTGATGTGAACAGTGGCATGGTTGACGTGTGGAGTTCAAGATGGTGGTTGCAGTTGTGGTGACGGTGGGCCAGGAGTTACAATGCCAAGGTAGTGATGGTGAGTACAGAAATTATGGTGAGAGCGAGGGCAGTGGTGATAAAAATGGTTGTGGCTGTGAATTAAATGTGACTGGGTAGAAGACACCTGTCTTGCACTTGATAATTGCATTGTTTCAGTAGGTTTTGGCATAGACTACCAGTGCTCTGCTCTTGAGTTTCCACGTTCAAATCTTAGTTCAGTCCAATTTTTATTCATACAAAATTTGATTAAATGTTTACATGGTTAGTGCCCCTTTAACCCGACTGCTTGGCTGGGGTATGCCCTGAATGGACGGCTTTGTCCAGTAGCAGGCCCCGTTGAACCAGCAGCTGCATGGTGAATAGACTGTATGTGTGGTATGCACTAATGCTCACATAATGGTGCAGTAGTAGCAGTCCTCCATAGCGAAGGGGTTAAGATTGAGGTTTACAAATTCCTTTCGGTGGACATGCTGATCTTTTTGTTATGACACGTACCCTTAACTGAAATGTCAATGTAATCGGGTTTGTTATGTTCTTGAAAGGTGTTCCACATTCTTCGCTTTGTGACAGTAGAGGTGACTAGTGAGATAGCTGAGGACCTACCACCCTCTGTCCCCTATCAACGCCCTCCAAGAATATCCAGACGGGAGCCAAAGGGAGAGATTGTCGAGGGGATCCAACTACCACAGTAAGTGCTTTGACCTTTTGGACTTTGACCTGAGTCTGCGCCAATCAAAATAGCTGTCAATGTCAAGATTCCTTTCTTTTCTTTTTTCTTCCATCAGTTAAGTTTTTGCAAAATTACATCACTAACCATGCTTGGTTTCTTTGTTTGTTTTTTTGAGTTTGTTGAGCACAGAAAGATGTATTCTGTGGGTCCGGAGTTAGAATCCAGCATTAGGGACATTATGGTCAAAACATTTTATAATACCAAATGACACTCTCCATGCACAAGTACTGTCTCACCAGCGCTCGTGTGAAGATCATGCATGTGTATAAGTTTGATTGGCCTCGTGTGCACTTTGCAGACGCATGTGGTTCATGGTTCCAAAAGGGATGTCACTGCCGTGTAAAAGCTCACCATCCCTCACTCATGAAGCCTAGACATCTGGCATCAAAAGTGCAAATCGAAATACATGCTGACTTCCTGAGATTCGTTTCAGGTTTGTCAACACTTCTTTTTCAGGTCGTCGAAAAGCAAACTCAAACTGAAGGAAATCAAGCAGTACTCGATACCGAACCACCTCCGCTGGATGCTGAACAACAAGAACCAAGTAGAAGGAATCAGGTTGGTCTCAAAGCCTCTTTGTTGGAATCAGACCATGCTGGAGACATCTCAGAATGGGTTCGTTTCCATGCCAGGACTAGGGATACTTGCCTCCTTGACAAGATATCTCCTTGACAATCTGATCCGTTCACAGTATGGGAGAGCTGCCGCTTGGATGCTCAAATCATGCTCGATACGCAGCGAACCATGTTGTTAAATGCTAGTCATATTGCACTAAGTTTACAAGTTACAATTTATGCTTGAAAGTTGACCACTAAACTGAGTCGTGGCCTCTTCAAGGGAAACAACGTTTCATGAATATATATATCCCAGGTTGGCTCTCTTCACCCACAAGCACTGTACCAAATTATACCAATTAGAAATGACAGTTCCTGGGAGGTAAAACAGCTCCAAATGGCGAAAAGTTCAATCAAGCAATATCATTCCATCTCTGCGTGCCATTTGCACAAGTTGACCATTTTTGAGTATAAGTTCTGCAGTTTATTTTTTGCTAGTTTGATATTTTTGTTCGGTGCAATATTCTGCTTCAAGGAAGGACATCAAGCCGGACCTGGCCTGGTCCAACTACAGCCACAAGCTGACCACCCTGCTGCACATTGAGGAGTGCCAGATGGAGGTGGACATCAAGCGCTATGACATGAGAGGGGTGGCCATGAGGCAAGATGGGCGGTTCCTCCGACTCGAAGTAAGAAGACAAAGCAGATTTTTGTGGACTTTAGGCCACAGGGGGTTTAAGTGGATGCTATTTCTCTGTAGATAGTGTTCTGAGGTGAGGTTGGATGGACTGTCAATCAAGAGTTTTGTTTATATAGGATTTTTTGCCCTTCTCTGACGAATATTTCTAAACACTATGGACTCAGTGTTGTCTAAGGGCTTGCTAAAATTACATGGGCTTATAATCAGCTGGGACTCTGGCTTTACTAGTGTAGATGTCTCATTCACTCAGCCATCCCTGCTTGCTAAGGTCAGGTGGGCACTTTGAGTCAAATGAGTTGCTGATTTTTTAATAGTGCCCCCGATATTTTGTTGCAAATAATGTTTTGAGCCACAATTTTTCAATTTTCAATAAATTCTTTGTGAAATGTACCGCGCATTTTTTGCTTAAACAAAATCCACCCCACCCCCCCTTTCCCCATCATGCAGCGGATTCTTTATGGCTCAGGCCTTGTTTGCCACTGACAGATCCCGGGTCTCGCTGAGAATCGCCCCTCTGTTCTCAAAGGGGACCACCTCTTTGCCCGGCCCAGTGGCGACCCGGCAGGCAGCAAGACCTTCAAGGGCTATGTCCACCGTGTAGAGATGGAGGAAGTCGTACTGGGTTTCTCCAAGGAGTAGGTCCCTGTCTTTCATCCAACAAGGCCACATAGAGATTTTGTGTACACGAACAGGAATTCCATCAACTAAACTTATGCTTAAACTGGTAGCCAACAAGACCTACATGAACTGGGAGATTCCGTGTTTTTGAAAGTTAACATTTGTTCATACCCAGGGCTATGAAGGAAGAAGAACGGATAAGTCAACTAACTGTCCCACTGTGCGAAGAGTTACTAATACAATTCCCCTTTTATACTCACACTTATGTCACATACCGCTTGATTGATCTTGACTGAAGGACAGCTGAGATTTGAGAGATAATCCAAACTAGCAAAATAAGCTTGTCTGTGGACTTTTATTGACCCCTAGCCCCAGTCTAGACCTGGACTGGAAATTTGTTAACGGTCCCGAACTTATAAGTGAAGTCTCACAAGATTTTGAGTTGTGATGAACATTTCACATGGAACTGTCTTCCCCTCTTCTCTTTCTAGACTGATTGATAAGTTTGTCAAGGGGCTCAAGTTCGACATCGAGTTCACCTTTAATCGCCTCCCCCTTCGCTTCCAGCACAACGCCCTAGACGACGCCACAATCCACGACATGAAGAGGGCACTGTTCCCTCTGCGCTCTGACATCGGAACCAAGAAGGAACTCTGCAGCGTACGTGAGGATACTGGGTAGGTCTTGGGCTCACTTTGTGGGAGTGTTTTTACGTCGGGGAAGAAATTGGTTTTGACATTGACTGAATTGGGTTTTTGCACCTTGGGCAAGTTTGGCCACTAACAATAGTTTGACCAGTAGTCAGATGCTTTTGAACAATGCGCATGCGCAATTCAGTTGCACTCGAACGACCCTAGTCGGCCCATCTTTTTTTAAAATGTCATCATTACTCACATTTCGCCATTGGTTGCGATTCTCTCAGCGTACATGGTCATTGAAATCTCGAACAAATTTTTTGCGAATGTGAATGGTTCCCTCTGCAATGATAAATGAAATCAGTTATTGATAACCAGCGATGCAACCACACCCTTGGGCCTGGTCCGAAATGGTCGACTGGATAGTCCAAATCATCCATCAATCGGGCGGTGTGAGTCAAACTATAGTTAACTGTAGTCGTCGCTCAAACTTGCCCTTTTGGTAAAGCGCTTCAGAATTTTAAGGTCAAATGTTGTAGCCTTGAAGTCATGGATTCCTATCGCACACAGTGAAACTCTTCAGGTGGTCCTGATCAGTGAAGTATACTCATCCAACTGCAGTAACTCCAAATAGTGGACTACATCAGTCATCTATGAACATTCTGAGAGCTTGTTAGAAAAAACTCCACCACTTGAATTCGTGGAACGGCTCAAATTCATAAACTTCTGGAGATAGGTTAGTTAGCTTATTTCAATCTTGCATACCAGTGGATACCAATTTTTCCTCTAAGCACTGTGGATTGCTCTGAACCCATAGTCAACATGTGCATCTTCTTTGAGACATTCTGTGAAATGCAGGTGCAAATCATTGATTTCTATAGGGAGTTTGCCGGACAGTTCTTTGACAAGAAGCTCGCCAGTAACATTGAGCAGATCAAGGCCGTCCAGCACATTGTGAGGGGAACCTCCCGCCCCGCCCCTTATCTCGTCTTCGGTCCTCCGGGCACCGGTAAAACCGTAACCATTGTTGAGGCAATCAAACAGGTAAGGCGCTTGCTGGGTCATCCGAGAAGGGAGAAGGGCATCTTGGGGCAAAGAGTAACATCAAAGGGTGCAGAACTGAAAGCCCAACTGCTAGTTTTCCACCATTGCCTCAATTCCTTCAAACCCACTTTGCCACTACTTTGGCATTATTTTCATTTTTAGGCACCTTTTCTCCGGTACAGAAAACTGAACATGCATCATCAGAAAGCACTCGGTTAAAAATCGAGGATCATTTCTAAAACTTCTCATGTTCAAGACAATTTTTGTTTCTGTTTTCTGTCCCAGTTTGCACTCAGGAAAGCACATTTTGGCGTAAACCATTACAAAATTTACATGCTAATTTTGTTTAGGTTTACAGTCAGATGCGCGGTAGTCGCATTTTAGCCTGTGCACCTTCAAACAGTGCTGCGGATCTCATAGCAACCAGACTGCTGACAGGCGGGACTCCAATCGCCAAGACGACCATCATGAGGATGAATGCCCAAAGTCGGGACTGGAGAAGTGTGGCCGAAATTTTGAAGGTCTGCAGAACTTCAAACCTTGTCCACTCATAGCAAAAACTTCATTGTTCTCAAGCGCTGTCTTGAACCCTGACTCCTGGCTCTTTTTGTCGTTTGCTCACTGTATTTGTAACCGGTTCGATTTAGAGGGAGTAAGGATTGTTTTGAATTTTAGCTGACAAGTCTGCTGTGAACCATCTATGAGTACCTTTGTTTGAAAGAGCTTTAAACTGAGAAGGGTTTGCAAGGAATTTTTCCACGTGTTTGTAAAACAAAGTTGAAATGCGAGGGGTACTCAACAGAAACTGAAATGTTTTACCTTATCAACAAATTTGCTGAATTTTTACTTGCATAAGTGTTTGTAGTCAAAGAACTGTGAATCTAAAATGCTTGTTTTGCAGGAGAAGGACGTTTGCAACTATGACAAGCAAGGATCCAGAGATACATTCTACCCTCCGAAGGAGGAACTCGTGGACAAGAGAATTTTGGTCACAACGCTCTGCACAGCTGGAAGGTAACAGAAAACTGTTGTCTTGTCAAATTATAAATATTGATTAATAGTACTTGACTATAATACTTGATTGCACATATTGATTGATAGAAATTGACCAGACCTTACTCTGACCTGTGTGACTAACCTGACTAATCTATGACCAAAGTGAGTGTTTTGATTAATAGTACTTGAATAGCCCCCTGATCATATCGGTGTGTGGGCTGGTCACAAGAGCCAAAAATTCCATGCATGTGAATGCTGTGAGGGATACTTTCAGCAGAATGTGCACAAATATGCAGCATGCCCACGAGGAAAGCTACAAATCTGCGAGAGATTACTCAGTGGAAATGGCACTTGTGAGTCTGTCTGTTATGGTATCAGTTGGCATTTTTACTTGCTCGAGCAAAATGATACATTAATTCCAAACCCAATACTCGAGCTTCACACTGTGGTTCACACTGATTGAGCGTGTGAAATATGAGTGATAAGCCTCGAGCTGGACCAAGAGAGGGTGCAATTTTCTCAGCAATGGAGGCTTCTTTGGTTCAGAAATGAACTTTACTGTTCCACGAACAACTAGGAAATGCACGTATTACAGTCACATCACTACCAACAAAATGAACACTCCCCGCCAACATGGCTCTTTTCAACCAATAAGGGGAGGCTTCTATTCGAGGTGGATAGTATGTGTCTGTGTTAGGCTGGTAGAGCTAGGTCTTGGCTGATTGCAAATACATTGGTGCTTGCTGTCAACAGACATAGCTGTAGCTCTTTAGGCCCATTTCAGAGGTGGTTGCGTTCTCTTATTCTCACGCAGGCTGGCCACTGCTAAGGACTTCCCCTACGACCACTTCACCCACGTCTTCATCGACGAGGCGGGCCACGCTGTGGAGCCAGAAGCCATTATATCCCTGGCCAACCTCCTGAACCCGAACAACCCCCGTGGAGGTCAGGTGGTTCTGGCTGGTGACCCCAAGCAGCTAGGACCCATCCTCAGGTCACCGCTGGCCATAGAACACGGATTGGGTAAGTTTGCTTCAGCTGTTCACGCTTAACAACATATGACGTGTGAAATGACTTTTGATCAGTGTTATGGAAGTGTCATGCGCAATGATCTGGGAATCAATCTGATGAAAATTGGAATGAGTGCAGAGTATTTTTGACATTCCGAATGTGGATGATCAAATAGTTCCAAGCAGCAGGTTGCTGTACACATGTAAACTAGTTTTCTTCCTGTTTTGAAAAAGATTTCTTTAGGGATTGATGGCAACCCTCAAAATTCTCTCACAAATAACAGGCTTTGATTCTTCAGTAGTCGTATTTGTGTTTGACGATTCTAAGTTGGTGGAAGACTTGATCAATACTTCATTTCCAATTTGGTTGCTCTGCACATTGCTAGATTCATTTTTCTCTAGTCTGGTGTAGTTCTCAAGTACACAAACACATGGAAGGCAGCCACTTTTGGGGAACGTATGGATGTGTACATGAAATTGACCCTGCATTAGTTTTCATAAAGGCAGTGGCACCCTTGGTGTCCCTAGACCTGAGCGAATGTGTTGAGACCAATCTCCGACTTGTGCCAATTCTTCCGCTGCTCAGGTCTGTCCCTGCTGGAGCGGCTGATGACAGAGTCCAGCCCCTACCAGCGACAGGAAGAGGAGCCGCGTTACGACAGTCGGGTGCTGACCAAGCTGCTACGTAACTACCGCTCCCATCCGGCCATCCTCAAACTGCCCAATCAGATGTTCTATGAAAATGAGCTGGAGGTCCACGCGGACGAGATGGTTCGGAACTCGCTGTGCAGCTGGAGCAAGCTACCACAGAAGGTGATACTATTAAAGATCGGCTTAGCCTTTCAAAATCGGTATAGATCTGTAAATAGGATATGATGTCATCAGTTAGGTGGCATGGCTCTGTCGTGCACATTCTTAGAACGAGCTGGCATACGTTGTGGCAAATCACAACACCCCACTGGTCGAAGAGGAATGTAATGCGTGACCGCCTGCATGCGAGCTAGGTACCATCACAGTAGAGCTTCTAATTCTTGTGCCCAAATTATTCTAACAGTGATAGTGTTGTAACTGAGTCCAGTCACAAGTATTTTCACAAGGCCAGCCGTAACTTACAGGTTGAACAGTTTTAGAGGAATGCTTTTGTCACAGTTCAGTTGAATAGCATGTGACTTGGCTTAAGACCTGGATGACTTGTGATGCACCTGCCGAGTCTTGTGATGGGCTCAACTGCGACACTAGTCTGTTAGTTATGTTTGGTTGTATGGGTCCTGAACAAGCCGGAAATGGCTCTGAAAGATTTCCTCACGGTCAAACCGTTTACTTCCGTCCATGATCCCTCGCCCCTCAGGACTTTCCCATTCTGTTCCACGGGGTAGAAGGTAAGGACGAGCGAGAGGGGCAGAGCCCGTCTTTCTTCAACTCGGCCGAGGTGACAGTGGTCGTGGAGTATGTGGAAGACTTGCTGGCCAAGCGAGGGGGGCGGAAAATCAAGGAATCGGACATTGGAATTATCTCACCCTATCGTCGTCAGGTCAGCTATGCTCAGGACATGTGGATTTTATTTTTCTGCTTTTCTTGATAATGATTTCTATTACCTTGTAATGGATTTTTTTCAAGTGTGCTGTTTTTATCTTTGGCTTAGTTGGAATATTTGGGTAAAAATTATTTATAGACATTCAAACAAATAATACAGATTGTTTATTTAACGTTATTAATATAGATCACGCTTCATTTATGGGTAAATGTTTCTCAAATCTTCTCAATCACTTTGGGATCGGACGTTTTAAAGTCTTAACGGATCATTTAACACTTTGTACCCCTAACCCCAAGGCTTAGTGGAAGTCACTAAGGCTCTTGTTAGATTTGCCTTGATTTTGGGTTAACTGTTTTGGCACACCCTGGGTATAGATGGGAAGTCAACAGTTACTCAACCGAGAGCTGAGGCACCAGACTGGGGTGAAAACAACTTTAGAAATCATCCTGCTTGACCTACTGTCATATCCAAAGAGTCTGTGGCCTTAAGATCTCATGGATGTAGACCTCATGGATGCAAGACGAAAGGTTTATCTTGACATTTTATACCCAGGTGCAAAAGCTGCAGGCAGTTTTGAGGAAGCGTCACCACAGCGACATCAAGGTGGGCTCGGTTGAAGAGTTCCAGGGTCAGGAGAGACTGGTCATCATCGTGTCCACCGTCCGCAGTACCAAACCAGAACACATCCAGATGGACATTGATTACAAGCTGGGCTTCGTCAAAAATCCAAAGGTTTGTACAACGTGGCTGGTGAAAACAAAAACTGACCTCTACTCAGTTGTCTTATGTGTGGCTTGTTTGCCTGATGGCCATCACGTGAGCGTTAGACAGGTATCTCATGCCTGTCACATGATTTCCACTTGGCCTTTTTTCTAATTTCCATTTGAGTTTTGTGCGTTACCAAGAATATCATTTTGAGTTTACAACACATGAACTGTTTAAGAAGGGAGTATCCGCAAACATACCTAAAAATACAAAAAACAGAAACAAAACTGGCGTTCGATCACTGAAACAATTTTTCCATCTAACTTAAGATTTCACTTATTCACTTATTGTCACTTATTTCCAGATTCTTTCTAGGTAAATTCTCACATCAGTTACACTCAGTTGATGAGCAGTAAGTTGTGCATGTCAGGGTTTTTTCTTTTGTAGAGACTGAACGTGGCCATCACTCGTGCCAAAGCCCTGCTGGTGTTGGTCGGTAACCCCTACATGCTTAGCAAGGACGAATGCTGGAATAAGTAAGTAAGAAGTGGCATAACTGAAATTGATGAAAGTAGGGTGTACTCCATAAGCTGCACTCGCCTGTCAGACCAACTTGTTATTTTGCGATGTTCTGTTACTGTCTTGAGTTTAGTCACTGGTACAAGTCTGGAGAAGGCAGCCTAACCTGATATTTGTTTGGCAGAATTTGAGTGCAAGTCAGTGTTTCACAGTGAGAAGACTTGCTATTAAAAACAGGGTCTGGATACGGCTTGAAATGTTGGATCGAAACATCACAATTCCTTAGAGTTGAAAGAAGAAGGAAAGACACGAATACTCTAAAATTGATCAGTGTATTTTAAAAGCAAATGAATGTCCTGTTACCAGGTTTCTGCAGTACTGCTTGGAGAATAACGCATACACGGGATGCCACTTTGAAGAGGACGAAGATGCCCTGGAAGATATCATCCAGAAAATGGACACTCTCAAAATCAGTGATTTAGGTGAGTCAAACATACTGAATTTATGTATCAGTTGTATGTATTAAATAACCTTTTCTGTCATTTCATCACCGATTGACACCCAAATGTTCCAACAGGGTTCACATGCCACCTGGAATTCCTTGAATATACTTGGAAAAAAAAATTGATTCTTCAAAGCCCTCGAATGTTCTGAAATTTTCAAAATGCTTATAAAGGTTCTCTTGTTTTATCTTCATTTTTATCTGTCAGTCAATTATGTACCATTGTCACATCCAGGTTGTCGCGTATCGCAAATCCAAAAGAAAATAATTCTCTGTGAGGCGTATGAACCCTGCTCCAAACATCCCATCACGTTTAGAGAACATGCCCAATCCAATAAGGTGTTGTGAAATAATTAAAATTGCCAAAAGGGGTTCAGGGTCAGTGACAAGCTGAAAACGTTGACAAAGTACTTTACTTTTTTTCTTTTGCAGTGGACAAACCGGAAGGCGGAGAGGATCAAGGCGTCAGTGCCGTGGCAGAGCAGATGGACCCTGAATGGAGGGGGGACATGTGAGCCAAGAAGATGGGGCACCAACTCGTGTGAACACTGCTGGGTGGGTGCCTCCAATGGTTCTCCTTCCAGATGTCGCATCAGGGTTCTAGGTGTCAGCTTCTTCGATACTTGTCCTTCTTGAAGGGAAGTTACGAAATACCATTCCAAAAATTCTGAAATTGGCGATCTTTACATTTCTGTTTGTCTCCAATGTTTGTTAAATTTTCGTCGGTGGAATTGTTCTGCCTAGTCGGAATTCACTTTTTAAATACTTTTTTAAAAATTGCACTTATATTTGACTAATCAATTTTTAAAACTTTACAAATAAATTGAATGCACTGATTCTATCAAAATATGTGCTTTATTTGCAAAACTTGCCTGAAATATTACAGTAGATTTTTCGAAACTCCCAAAGAACCTTAGGAAACATGTAGTGGCCCACAATAAAAGAGAGATTTTCTAGGGTGGAATCATTCTTTATTTCTGCAAACATTGAAGTTGGATATCAACCAGATACATCAACCTTTAATAGTCTTATTTTCAAAGCTAAAGGAGTAACACCTCGAGTACATTAGCTTTTGTCCTTTTCGTTTTGTCATCTTCATGTGGCTTGTAAATACTTTGTAAATTCTTTACTTTTACTATATTTTCTCTCTTTTTTAACTTGAACTCATCTTTTTACATAGTTTTAAGTAGAAAGCCCCAAGTCCTTCTTTAGAGAGCCCCTTAATGCCCTGAAAGTTTACATACCCAGTGAATCAGTGCCACATTCTTTACATCTTCATACCAATGGGGATCTGAGCTTTCATCTGTACTTTTGGCCCGATCTCCATCATCAGTTTCAGTCATAGTGCAAACCAAATGAAAATTCCTGAAATCTTGGCCCGATATTGGACAGACGGAGATGGTCGTATGGCTGAGATGAGAGCTGCGTTGAGCCTCAGAGGGTCTCAATGAAGTAGACCGAATTCATAAAATTGATGGCCAAAGCCCCGATGGAGGGTGTCGGCAGATCAAGGATAGGTTTGGGTAAAAAAAAAAGAGCAATACTGAATATTAACTGGAGATGCATTTTATGGTAAGTTTTTCTGTTTACTGTATTTGGGTACTGGAAGTTGTTCTTAAATTGCTGCCATCTGTGATACAACCATTTAGAATATTCTGCCGGAACATGGAGTAGTCTTTTAAATTTTGGGGGTCAAAGTGTGGTATATTTTACAATATACTTTTTTTCTGAATCAAGAATGCCTCTTTTATGACGATTAGTTCAAATCTTGCCAGGTAATCTCTCCAGGCCTTGAAGCAAGGTTTGAAAGTACTGCAAGGATTGCATTGACTGTTTTTTGGGGGTGGAGGGGTGGAGGTGGTGAATTCAGCCTTAAATCTGTGCAACTTGAATTTTTTTGCTATAAAACTGGAAAGGTAATTCATCAATTACCAAGCGACTCTTGGACAATAGAAAAGACTTGCATTTGTAATTTTGCATTTAATTTGCCCACTGACATTGTCAGACTATTTTTCCCCATCTAATTTGCATGGCTGCTCAAGACGAATATGGAAGTAAAATCCTTCTCCATAAACCGTGTTAATTTACCTCGATTTCCTATCGTTGTGGTGAATATTCAATATATATATATTTTTATAACATTTGCCATTCTCTGATGAAGAATTAGTTCGGAATACTTTTGATGTGTTGGAATAAAATGGAATTAAAATGTCATCAAAATACTGGTGTTTTTGTTTATTGCCACAAATTGAAAGGTGGGATTTCAGTTAGTCTAGTGATATTTTCAAGCACTGTTCGGAATGGTAGAACTCATACTCAATTACTCGTGCCTGAGTGAGTTTTCCAACACACACACACATTTAATTGTACTCAACTACAACTACTGAGTTGTAGAATTTTCACTCGAGCACTTCTTTCCATACTCGCAAAAGGTTATTTAGAAACAAGGTTAACAAATCGATGGCAAAATTTCCAGAAAAGGGGTCCAGATGTCTCGCATTTGACGTTTGTGATGTGCTGATGAATTAAAATTTAGATAAGGCAAGCCTGTCTAAAAAAATGTAGCGCCACTCTTCTGCCAAATAATTTCCCCATGGATTACCTTTTGCTCATTTTGAACCGGCAGTTTTTCCGGCAGGTTCAATTTACTGAAGACATTAAAAAATATCTATAGACTGACAAAACAGGGCGCAAGAGCGTAGTCTCTATGGATGCAGGCCAGTATAGGTCCAAAATTGCCTGCGCGGACCAAATCACGATTTGTAGCTGTCAAATTCTCTGCTATTAGAGCCTTTCGTGGCACGTGGACTGGGTGGTTTGTTGAAAAGGAGGATGAAATCCAGGGGCAGGACTGTCAGCTTGTATTTCAGACCAAAAGGGTCCTCCAAATGGCTCTATTCTGCCATGGAGTATAGGCATCAATTTCCAAAATGGCGATATCTTGAAGGGTGATTTTCTCTGGAGAGAAATATCTTCAAAAGTCATGGGTCAAGCCACTGAAAATTGAAAGGAAAATGAAAGATGAGGAAGTGAGCTTTAATTTGATATGTGTCTTGAACACCTGTGAAACTTGTATTTTTCCTGATTTTCTTAATTAGGGCTATTTATCACTGTTGTCTGTGGCAACTGATTTACTGGTCTGGACCCCTATAGGTTGCAGGCCAGTAAAATAAACTGCCCCAGCCAACAGTCATAAATACCCGAGATTCAAACAAATCAGGAAAAATACTTACCGGTTTCTCAGGCGTTTGAGACGCAGGTCAAATCAAAGCCCACTTTCTGATTTTTCATTTTGTTGTCAAATTTCCATTCATTAATAGTGACTTGCTGGCTTATTAACCAGTCTGTGGGAGCAAGCCGACGTCTGTAAGATACGTCTGTAAGGGGGCGACCATTTTCCACTAGTCTGAGGCAACAGCAGGACAAAGACTCGACGCTGCAGTGGCACGACGCGACAGCTCGCCGGCATGACGCAAACTTTCGTTGTGACGGCACGACGCAACAGCACAACGTGCAAACAAGCGGCATGACGCAAAGCTCGATCAG